GCTTGTGTTGTTGGGCATATTTTCTATGAAAAATAATAAGAATCATGCGGTTTTGAATCCAGAATACAAAGTTTTGGAAAACCTTAAGGAACCTGCATGACAAGAACACTAAGCATCGGCACTGGGGCTGATTTTAAATTCTCGGTAGTCGGCACTGCACATACAATAAGCATCTGCACGGATGTACAGAGTACCGCTGTGAACCCTTGCTTGGTTTTCTAAAGTCAATTTATTATTTATTTGCGAAGAATCGCAAGAGGCAATTGGGCACCGGGGCTGGTGTCAGAGCGCCTCGCTCCCGTCGATTGGTTCATTGCACGTGTGTGCAGGCTCACGTGCTTCCGGTTGGTGTGGAAAAAAAAAGTGTGGAGAGGCTGAGCGATTTTAGGAGAGTTTGCAAAGATCGAACTGTCATAGATAAGAGAAACGCAGGGACTTCAAACCGGCGCGCAATGTGTTGTCAGCTTCGCCAGGCGGGCAGATTATGACACTTGGAGCTAAAATCCTACACACTTGTAGGATGCCGCGAATTTAGAGAAGGTTGGTTCCATTTAAAAAAAAAGAAAAAGAGGTGTTTATTGTATTTTTTTAATATTGACCGACTATATTGCCAGGCTTTTTTTTTTTAAAGAAACGGGATACAAATAAATATTCGCCAACAAGTGGAGTTGGGTTCGGAAAGAGGAGGCGAAGCGAATTGGATCCAGATATGGAAGAGCACAAGGATTCAAGTAGCCGGGATTCTAGCGAAGGGGAGAGCGTCTCGCTGTCCCCGAATCTGCCCTCCCCGCCGATCCTGCCTCACCCGGCAGCGCAGCAGGCTCACCGAACCACCAACTTTTTCATTGACAACATCCTGCGGCCGGACTTTGGGTGCAAGAAGGAGCTCGGGAACAGGGACCGAGCGCAGACCTCCGGCAGGGAGAACGTGAACCCTTTGGTCATCAGGCCGTCTCACCCGAGCACGCTGTGCCAGGATTCAAACTGCAGCAGTGACAGCACCTCTTCCTCGTCCTCCTCGCCCTCGCCGGCGTCGAAACAGAGCCCGTCGAAGCCGGGCGAAGGAAATGGAACTAACACGGCCAAATACGGCGAGAATAACCCCTCTCTTATGGTTATGAGCGCGAATAATGGAGGAACGGCGGCGACTAAAGAATCTCAGCCGCTACTATGGCCTGCCTGGGTATATTGCACAAGGTATTCAGACAGACCATCATCTGGTAAGGCAATAGTTTCTTTTTTATGAAATAATATATATATATATTGCTTGCGTCGGGGAAAAAAAAAAGAGTAACAGAAAATGGATCACGCTTGAACACAGCCTGTGCACGATATTTGTACACACAGTCACAATACTAGATATACATACATTCACATTCAGCTGGGCGACAGAATAGCGAGGCGAGCGAGGGAAAAAAAAAGTTTCGAAGGCCGTTAGACCCGCTGAATGTTGACTCGCAGTTCACAGCAAATTAATTTAGATGCTAGAACTCTTGGTCCTTTTAGGATAACTAAATCTCAGTCTGTCAATATGCTAAATCCAGGGCCTTTCAAACAAAATAATAATTGGAGGCCTAAAGGCCGCAGTTTAAGAGCACATTTTGTGTTTTGGAACCAGTAAATTGTTGCCGGTTTAGAAAACAGTGGCTGTTTCGTTTCGCATGCAACTGTAAAATTGTAGGTGGACGTGAAGATCTCTTCTCAACTTGGGCAAGTACGAAAATCAGCCTTTGTGTGTAAAAAATAATTTAAAATATGCATTTTAGGCGATGAATATTCTAACAAGGCAATCGGGCACATCTGATACAAAAACACTAGGCACTGAAGTTAATTGAGCATTCCGTATATCGCACTGCCTTTACAAACACGTTACTGTAGCCTGCCTTTGTGTGGCTAAGCGCGCTAATGAGAATTTCTTTTATGAAACCATATATAAACATGAGTGCAGGAAAAATAAAACACGATAGACAGTCACCAGTAACATAAAAGGAAATAATAATAACGAAATGCATTAATAACTTTAACGACACTGCATTCACGAGCCTTTGAGATAATCGGCTACATTTGAACGTTTATGCAAGATTCACGTTTCACGACGTTACAAAATCGATCAATGGATATTTTTTCAAGAGGAAAAAAATAAGAAGAAAAAGGGTTGTAGTGTGATAATATAAATATTTTTCTTTACTTTTTGTGACCTGCACTGCAAATTATGTTTTCTTTTTTTTTTCCCCATACACTGAGGTACTACAGTACACCCGCGGGACAGGACAGCGCTAGGATACCGCTTTCTAAAACGGGTTCTGCGCGTACTCTCAATCCTAGCAGCCTGCTGTACCTCCACTTCTGAAAGTGATCAATTTGGAGGTCCTTCTCCACAGAGAAAGGAAAGTTGCATTGACCGAGCTGATTGATAGACTGATTAAGCTGTCAGTGCGAACAGTTCACCGAAACGACACTGCTTGTTCTTAAGCTCAGTGAAGTTAAAATACAATATTGGAATTTGCTGATCTACTAGGTCTGTGTAACGTTCCCTGTGAGCTATGATATTTCTAGTTTACTCCTGGCACTGCTGAACCCTACGGTGAATTTAATAGAAATGACACATTGACAAGACTACACCGTACACTTATACAGAAGCTCTGTCAGTTCATTTGGCTTGATTTCACTCTCGGGCGCATCGATTTTAGGCCTGGATGGGGTAATCTTCTGCATTAATTATTTTACAACAACGATCAGATTTAACTACAGACCCCGGAGTTCACACGCAAACACTCACACCTTCCCCTGATAAATTGGGCCATTCATTTAGGGCTGTACTGCTTGTGTTGAGTGCACTATCCGTTGTTATGTTTCGTTGACATTTATTAAACGAACTTGAACAAAGCCTCTTGCGTTATAGAATTATAGAAATATATAGAATGCATGTAAAACGTATTATTATTATCCATAATACTGGAAAGAGTACTTTTATAAGTAGAAGTAAACTTTATAGTGGTTTCTCTTAGGTCTCTAACCGCAGTCATCTGGAGCAACCATGTTCTCTTGCGGCTTTCGAAAAAGGAACAAGTAAAAATAGTACACATTTCTGAAAATTGCGCAATTTTCTAGCCTCTCAAAAATAAGTGTCAATTTATTTGTGTAAAATAACTGCAAAACGCTGCAAGTGTTACATTTTTCGTTCGGCGTGGAAATACCTACCTATAACACTATATCTACTGGATTTCCACTAGGGATAAAGTGGCCTGTGCTGTTATCTGTTTTATAAACACTGAGGACTCCTGGAAATGTGATAATAATACTGCAGCGTGTTCACGATTTTCCAAATACTGTAAAAGGCGTGGCTTACTCTTAAAATCTTTAGCCCGCATTCCTTGCATGTAAAATTAGTTATGTGAGGTTGTGTTTTGAAATATACTTTGTTTAGTGGGGCCTTACACTGTAGTCGGATGGTTGAACTCTCAGTCAGGAGAGAATGGATCATTTTTGTCTTTCTCGGCGTGACAAAAGTACCATAATATAGTCTAATAGATCGCCCGCATAAAGATACAAAACTCGTGGCTCTCTCCTCGGGCAGACCTAGTATGATCATAATAAACATGGCGGTCTTTATCTTCGTATTTAAGACAGTATTAATATGCCAACTATTATTATATCGTTATAGGAACGTCTGAAATATTTTAAATGTCATAAATTATTTTTCTTTTTGATGAACACCCTCACACCTCGGCACACAGTGATCGCTGACAAAAAACAACTTTACAACCAAATCAATAATAACAACAAAATGATTATTGTAATATTGAAATGCCCCCCGAAAATTGCACTAAACTATGTAGTGACAACGAAGATCGCTCGTAAACGATCCTTCTAAAAATCCTACCGTATCAGGAATAGTGTATGTTTAGGCCGGAATTCTGGGATGTTTTTGAAATGTCTTCAAAAACGCAGGATGTTAAAAAATATTTTTTTTTCATATTGTATATGTATATTTCTGTGCACATTTTGAAATTCAGAAAAATGTTGAAACAGATCGGAAACGTTCTTTAAAACTTAAATTTAGTATATTATGAAAACGTTATCTTGTATATTATGCTTTTAAATAAGCGGTTCTGAGCGAAACAAAATGTATTTTAATGTACATACTAGTGTACAGTTTATTTCAGACTAACCCCAGCAACTGCTGTAACGGTCATATTTTGTTAGCCGTAATTTGCCAGGATATACTCTCAACACGCAACCTAACTGTAATAAATATTCTTTTGTTAGGGAAATAGGTTTGCCGAAGCTTGGAGCAAAACATTGGGAATCCCTTTCACATAAAACCAAAAACTACTCGTGCAACGCAAAGGTATAATCTAATCACTTATTGTAATGTAGTGATTTCGTGGCGCGTCATCAAAATTCTCTCACCTAGCAGAAAACATATATCGTTTCCTACCACTGCAGACAAAATTATTATCGGGTTGGTAAATGACATGGATTTATTCACGACCTCGGAATTCGTAGATCCCGTCATCTCCTATCTATAGCCTGTGGAACAGATACCCAGGGCTTACTGATATTTACGTATGCGTTTTATTGTTGTTTCTACACTAGGCCCAAGGACACGAAAATTGAAAAAGAAGAAAAATGAGAAGGAAGACAAGCGACCTAGAACCGCTTTTACAGCCGAGCAGCTGCAAAGACTTAAAGCGGAGTTTCAAGCCAATCGGTACATCACAGAGCAGAGGAGACAGTCTCTGGCCCAGGAACTCAACCTCAACGAGTCACAGATCAAGATCTGGTTCCAGAACAAGAGGGCTAAGATCAAGAAAGCCAATGGCTTCAAGAACGGTCTGGCCCTGCAGCTCATGGCCCAGGGACTTTACAATCACTCGACCACCACAGTTCAGGAAGACAAAGACGACAGCGAATGATCCCAGCACACTTTTCTTTTCCATGTACTGCCGGGCGCTGGCTGGAGGGCCAGAAACGAAGCTTTCGAAGACAAAAAAAAATTAACACAGCGAATGGAGTGGGACAGGTGCTATTTAAATCAGATCTATGTCTATCTCATAGTATATGGACTAAACTATATAAATAACGAACGATATAAAAAGTCTATATATAGCCAAACACCATAAGACGTTGTATATATTTGATTTCAGGTAAGGATGTGTCTATAGCGATCCCTACTTGCTGGAGATTTTATCTTTTTCTTTATGATGTTGTTGCTCACTGTTTTAGTACGTGTCTGACTCAATAGGGGTTCTTACGTGTTTTTGTCTCACTCTTCTTAACTCACAGTTCTATACAGACTGCGCTCCTGAACCGTCGCTACAAGCCAAAGATTTTAATATGTTCAGAAATATGTAGTCTGAAATAAAGTGTAGAATGTGCTCTCGATTCCTTTTTTTTTCTTGGCTGCAGTTCATCACTATTCCTTAACGTTTATTGTTTTAAATACACCTTGAGACTAAACCGAGCCACCTCAAGTCTGCGGGAGATCTTGAAGCTGGGAGGGCGCACAAGGCAGTTCTTGTAATGTCGGAGTTTATACCAGGTCAAAGTATGTCCAAACGCGCCCATCGATTTGATTCGATAATGCAGGAAAAATGGAAAATAAACTTTTTTTTTAACTGTTCTATGTGAACGAGGGTTGTTTTTCCGTCCTATTACACTTTCTTAAACAAGCCTTTTTCGCAGGGGTTAGGGGTGAACAGGGGGAGGCTTCAGGAGAGATTAATTGATTACAAGAGGATTCCTATAATCACGCTCACGTGAGGTTTTTCCCCCGTATATGAATTAAGACATTACGTACAATACATGTACACAGACTATATATATCATGGTTTGCAGACAATTATGATAATGCTTAAATCACATGCACGTTTTAAATCCTCCGTCGCATCGATTTTAATTAATATAACTCTGTAATAAATGTGAAGGGGAAATGTTACGTTTCAATCTGTTTTGTCATTCAGGTATATTGAACCAAAAGTTATTCCAGGTCTATGGGGGAGCTCTCTCTACGATGTAAACAAAGAAGAGTTTCCTTAAGAGTAGGCTCCCGTGTTCTGCGGATTGGTGTTATTTAGTGGTGTCTAGGATAATGTGGTTTAGCTGCAAGCACAAATGTCTAGCGTTTCTGGTTGAAGGAATCGATACAAGGAGAGCTTGTGAGGTCAAATGAGTGTCTTCAAGGTCGCTCAGTAAGTCTAAGGCCGACTATCACTTAAGAAAAAAAACAAAGCAGAATCCACTGTTTGTGTCGCGGCAAAATGATGGAACACTTTCGTTTATTAAATGGCATTTGTTACCACTGTGTGTATTTCTGACTTGTATTTCAATTTATATCCAAGCTTGCAACGGACCTGCATTATGTATTATCTGTTTGTATTTTTGTGTGTTTTTTTTTACAATGTTCCTTGTAAGTGTATTTTGTCAGTACAGAAGTCTACATTTATATACTGTGCTGTACAGCATCCATTCAACACATTATATAGAAATGTCTTTGGATATACGATTTTGATATTTACTTATTTACACTGTTAATTAATTACTGGAATAGGGTATTCGTTATTAGTCTTGCAATGCGTCCAGAGATTAATGCTCATATCGATGCAAAGTAAGAACAGTAAAATCGGCAAACGCAGTAGGGAGCCAATAGCTGTTTAAACACTAAGTAAAGACATTAAATAATCATTAGTAGATACGATGCAAGCTTAGGGAGATCAATTGCTTAGCCCCGTGCAATGTATTAGCGATTCTCTATGACACAAAATGAAACGACAAAATAAAGTTTCGTGCTTCCGATGCCTTTTTAGTCATTCAACGTTTTGTCATGCTATAAAATATGTTAAAGCGATAAAATGCCACGTTTGGAAAGCGGTCTGTAGAGAAACCTTCTAGTTCCAGGTTCGTAGCGGGTTGAGGTCGACTGCAGGCGGTAGAGGAGACTCCGGGCAGTTTCGTGCTCTCCGTACACGTTAAAGTCGACTCTGTTTCATGTCCTCAGTACCTATTTTTTGCTTTCTGATGTTTTAATTCATTGCGTATAAATAATTGTACTTATTATTGCTTGTTGAAGACTTTAGTATCCCCCGGGATGCACTTTTATCGGCGATATTCTAACAGGTAAAACCAGCGCCTGAAGGAGAGATCGTTCCCCGTGTCTACAGCATAGTCTTTGCAAGGTTACCAAATGTGCATGCTTATGTGATGTAGTTCTGCATGAAAACTAATACACAATTGTGTGTAGCCTCGTATGTTCCACGACGTTAGGCCTTGTTGACGTTCTTTGGATAAGGGTAGAAAATATAAAAGTATATTTTCGTTTTGAATTGTATCGATTTTTCCCCCCCACAAAGCCATAATCCTGAATCTTTTTTTTAGACCGAGTAGGCCTAGTGGATCCACATTAAATTTCCCTTTTCAAAATACAAAATGCAAACTGCGTTCCGCGCCGCTAGGCTAAAACATCACTGTTTTTTCCATGACGTCCCCCGCCCCCCCATTTTGTGATCATATTGCGTAAACCGTTTATCCCTTTCAGTGTTGGGAGCTCTCCAAACATTTCTGATGATTGAACAGTTGAATTAGCATCACTATTTTTATTGAGTTATCAAAATATCACTACACGCGGCATTTTCCCATACTGCGCGAACTTTCTAATGTTCTAATGTCCTCAGCATTTGTTACGATTGTAGGATAAATTTATGAAGACAGCGTGGAGGGACGCCAAAAATATAGTCAGCAAGAGCAAGATCAAACGGCATTTTTAAAAAACCACGTTAAGAAAAAAAGTGAGGAAATTCCGAGGGTGTAAATTATGGGTATAGTCTGAGCCTTCACTGTTACCCTCCCCGTCCCTCTCACACCTCCTCCTTCCCTCCCTCCCTCTCTCTCTCCCAGGAGCACACCCAGATCGGACTCCCTGCGCAAATCCCTTTGAGTCTGTGCTCAACCGAGAGTCTCACACGCCGGGTGGATATTAAAAACGCCCAGCTCCTGAAATGCAATAACCAGAGAAAATACGCCAGAAAGCCGCTTCCACGACGTTTATGTCCGGACCCCGGCTTGCGTGACTTAAATGACTCGTTCTCTCTGCTCGGGGACACGCGTTGGCACGGCTATGACGCAAACCTCATTGGACTATATTTCCCGACGGCCTGTGTCGGGGCAGCGAGCTCTTTTGTGCCTCTGTCCCGGAATCAAAGCAGACCTAAAAGGGAGACCTACCCCTCTGGGTCAAAGGTCACGCATCGCCGTCAAAACTGACGATTTAAGATTTTTAACACTTTAGTTGTTAACCTTTCCCGGGGCCCGCATCTCATTGTTAAAACTACGGCGAAACGAGTTGTTGTGAAATTGCTTGAAGACAAAAAAAAAAACCGTGCTGGTGCTAAATGAGCCACAGCGTGTCTGTTTGAAAGCTCGAATAGCTGTAATATAGGCTATAACGCAACAGACGTTGAAATCTATAACCAGTGTGCGTATATATGTTCAAGATCCATATATCTGGGAATGACATCTTGATTCAGCCCGAAGTTAGAGCGAAACTTGCTGATCGGGTTTTGCATGACAGAGTTTATGTTGAATTATTAGCTTGCTGTTGCCACAAAAGACAGGCTACCGAACCAATAATTTAGAGATAGGAAGCAGGATGGAGAACATCACAAATATATTTGGAAAAACCTTTATGTTACACCGCCTGACGCTTCCATAGTTAACATTAGAATGCGGAGATACAGTATATGCAAATTGCACCCGATTGTAGGTATTTTTGCAGTGTGTGTAGATGTAGTCTGATTATCGTTTAAATTATTCCCTCCCACAGACTAAATCCTTGCTCATGATGTTCTTTACTAAATCCTTCAATCAAAAGAGGAAGATTTATATAGGAGTTTTTGTTTAAACCCCATACGTTTTGATTGATCGTAATTTTTAATGGGTTATAAAACTATTAATAACAATAATTATTTTTCTTAGATTTGGACTTCATAGTAACACCAAGAATAATACAACAATTTTTTTTTCCTATGGGATTTGATAGTAACAATAATTATTTTTTCTTACATTTGCAACATTTTTTTTAAAGTAATAGAAGGCTGTTTCTTGCCGAGACATTTACAGAACAGCGTGCAAAAACGTGTGATCGGCTTGTCGATACGCGGATAACAAACATGTTCTCATCTACCATATAAGAAATCCACGAGATTGTTCACACTGCTGAGACGGTCTGCCATTTTTCAATCAACAGAAATATCTATTTGTATCTGTGAATAACGAATAAAGGTTTCAAACTGAAGCAGAAGGTTTTGAAAATGTAATCTGAAAATGCACGCGTATTACAAAGCGTATAGGTTTGCAACGATTTTGTCAAAATGCAGGCGTTCATGCATCAAAGCACTGAAGTACAGAATTAAGGGACTTACAAAACTATTTCTATTGCTTGAACTTACACCTACTTATTGACGTATACAACCACCCATTCCTCATCTGTTTCCTTGTCTGTCAGTGACAATAGCCCAATAATGTTGTTTGGGGTGTATTAATTTGAAGTGTACTTGAAGATGGCTACATTAATTTGTTACATTTGTTAAATGATAGAAGATCAGCTGACAATGCCTTTTAAAATATTAATAGTAATTCACACTTTTCTAAGGGCGTCTTCTTTAGCAACGAAATCTGAGAAATTCACGCTGACTGCATCTCAAATGATTCCTTTTGTGGCAGGAAATTCGACTTAAAACCTGCTGAACATTTTGATGACCATACAACCTTCCTCAAAAGGATAACAGATTAGTATCGACGCAGAAGTGTTTAAAATATGAAAACAAAAGCAACGAGGTTTAAATCGTATTAACACTGGGTTAATTTAATTTAAAGAAAATACAACTTATTTCTAACGTTGCAATATTTCAATTCCTCTTAAATTAAAAGCACAGCTAATGTTTCTATGCATTATACCTTTGCATAGAGTCGAAACTTATACACATATTACGTGATTTGAACT